GCTGCAAACACATTTTGAATTACTCCATATGGTTCAAGAGAACAAATGCAACAACTGAAAGTCTTGTCTGCCATGATGTGAAAGACGCAACCGCCATCAGTATCGAGGAAGAATTGAGAAGCCAATCGCAGGAAGGAGGAAGAAGGGTTTATTATCTACAAATACTAGTAGATGGCGGTTATCAATCACGACTCGAAATAAGGCTCTTTGTGCCAAAAGAAAATTTCATTTTTGACCATCCTATTTTTGTTTGATATTTTTTTTGGCTATGTAACTCTAAAAACTATACATCTTTGACCATCAAGTTATCAATACTGGACAGATTTAGTCATCTAGTCGGAGGTGTTTTTCTATTTTCTAAATAATAAAAATAGGTTTATTTTACAAAAATTCATAAAATATTTATTTAAATATGAAAAATATGAAACTAATCAAAATTTTGCTAAAGATAATGCAATGTGCCTACTGGTGCTATATTTAAAGTTATTTGGATCTTATTTGTAGTTGTTCCTAGTGTGTTATTTCTCATGGTCATGTTATTTATTTAAATCATCATTTTGTGATATATTAAACCCAAAGATTGATCGTGGGAATACATACTCAAAATTAAATAGAGTACCAAAAATGTTGGTTAAATTAACCAAATCTATTTTGGAGGGCTAGATATCATACTAGTTGCAATGGATAAATATGATTTATGTATGTTGGAGCATGGCACCTACGATGTCGTTGGTGTCAACCTCCTAGTCTACTATAGATTCTTTTGGTCAATCTCGAGTTAAATATAGTGCAAAATGATGATCCAAATAAGTAACAAACATGACTATGAGCAATAAAACACTAGGAATAGGAATTGATAAAATATACCAATAGCTCCAAATAGAGAACCAGCAAATAAGTTATATTTCTAAAAATATTTTGGTACTATTTCAAGTTTTTCTAATTTATAGAATGAATTAGTTATAATTTTTTAAAGAAAAAACAAACCAGATTTTATTATTTTTAGAAATACAAAATCACCTTTGAAACAAGCTATTTGGCCTCATTTCTCCAGTTGTCCGTTGTTGATAGTTCGGTGGTAAAAAAAATCTAGTTTTATAGTTGTGTGTATATGACTGAAAACAAATTAAAATGCTCTCACTTTTTGAAAAAAAACACCTGTCTTGTATGGCAGTTGTTAATTGCTATCCAAATTGTGTGGGTGCGCTATGAAATTATATCCAAGCCCGTAATTTGAATTAAACTCTTTTTTTTTCTCGACCGTAATTTGCATTAAACTCTTAATTGGCACCGTGATAATAGTTGTCATCCAAAACAGCGTCTAATCTGTCAAACAACGCATTCCTTGCATTTGGTCTGTAAGATTAAGCGGAGCGCTAGCAATAATTGCATTGCATTCAACAAAAAGACTGCCCAATTAGACGACGCAGACAGGATGTTTGCAACGTTCTTTCAGAACCTAGCTTCAAACAGGGACATGAGTCATCAGATGGATGGCACTTCTGAGTTCTGACTGACGTTACGTGATCTCTATTATGGTTTTAACACTGAAAACAGAACATTAGCTTCACATTCAGACAAGGAGGTCTGAATGCCTGTCTTAGTTTCTCCGGGGAAATGCATTCAGGAATCAGGATAGCAGGAGGCGTCCGTCCAGCGCGCGAGAGCCATTATGCAAGATTTTTCTGGGTTATTACTAGCAAGGGATCGGAGGAGGCCAGGAGGGAACGCAATGCATGAACCGGCTCAACGCAACCATGGAAAGACACACACAATGCAAATGTACACAACAACGACAGGTAGCTTAGCAGCGGCAATTGGAATTGGAGGCAAGATGCTTGACAGGCAACGAGCAGCTAGCAAGGCCATCTCAATCGGCTTCCCGGTCGACAGTGGCTGGACGCTGAGCGCGACCGGCCCGACCGGCCCCGGGATTCTCCATATCGACGGAGGCCTCTTCGTGGCCCGGGAATAGGATAAAGTTGATGGTCGCGGAGGAATCCGGAGGAGGGATATCCATGGTACAAACCATGGGACTAAAGTCGCAGCGCATCCTGCATCGATCGATAGGGTCGATCTCTCAGTCTCATATCCCATCCTGCAGCACGGCATATGCCGCCGCTGAGGCGCTGACCCTGATCTCTCAGTCCTGGTCCTGGACCTCTATAAGAGGAGCGCGGATGCCACACGAGGAAGAAGCAGAGGAGCTAGGAAGAGGTGCTGTAGCTAGCTAGATCCATTGTCCATGGAGCAGCTAGCTGGTTTTCTGACGACGCTTGCAGGACTAGCAATCTAGCATGCAGCTGAAGACAGTTGTAGGCAGCTCTCCTCTGGCAGGCGGTCATCGACGGCTGGTTCTGTGTTCATCCGGATCCATCGTGCTAGCTAGAGCCGTGCATGCAGTAATATTCGATTACATGCATGCACGCACGTACGTCGTCGTCGTCCTGCCAAAGGAGAGTTGCCCTGCTACTGTCTTCAGCTTCGTTCACTCAAACAAGATCGACTGGCGCGACCGACGTGTGGTCATCAGGTAAGAGTACGTACGTACTACTACAACACTACTACGTTGTTGCTTCGGTTCTTCGAAAGCTAGTACTAGCAAAGTAATGAAACTTCTTCGAAAGCTACTAGCAAAGTACACATGTCTGTCTGCTACTGGAACTTCTTTGAAAAAAGCTAGTAGCAAAGTACACATGTCTGCTACTGAAACTTTCTAGCCTTTTGTTAACGGCAACCAGGGAAAAAAAAATTCGGTGCAGTCTGGCTGCACCCTCCCGTCATGCAGACCTGCTTGGATCTGGTGACACGTGTCTCAGAAAATCTATCACACGGTCAGGAGGTGGAGTTTTCAGTTGCAAATTTTTAGAGCATTCCGATGAGTTTTTATTTGTCTATTTTTAGAGTATTATCTGGCTGTGTGATAGATTTCTTGGGACACGTGGCATACATCCGAGTGGCCCTGCACGGAAGCGCCGGTGCAAGGAGGTTGCATCCAATTTTTTTTGGCAAATTTTGCTGAGGGACACTAGAAAAACACATAATTGGCTGGCACACACCGCCAAACAGAGAATTTGCCCAAAGACACCGTAAATTCGTGGTTGTTTGCTCAGACACATCGCGCCGATTATTTTATTCATTTATCAATTTAGAGGAGAGAGAAGGTAGGAAAAATATCCAAAGTGTCCTCGTCTTCAACCTCTGATTGTGCATCAATTTCTGCTGTAACACACCATTCAACTGCCGACGGGGTGGTGGAGCAGTCCGAGGTCCGTGGCGCCAGTCGGCGAGATCCTGACTTGCTGCGCCCAGCAGTAGCACGTCGGTCTAGGCACCGTCGGAGCCATGAGCTCCATGCCGGCTGGGAGGTCCGCACGCCACCCAGGCCACAAGCTCCGCGCCGGCCGCGTGTTTCGCGCACCGCCCATGCCGCGAGCTCCGTCGCGCTGGCCGTGTGCGCCCCACCACCGCCGCTTGTCCGCGTCTGCTGCTGCTGCTCGACCTCGCCGTCGGGGCTCAGGGGCCACGCCGCCGGAGTGCAGGGGTCAGGGGCCGCTCGCCCGCGTGCTGCTGCTGCTCGGCCACATCGCCAGAGTGCAGGGGTCAGGGGCCGCTTGCCTGTGTGCTGTTGCTGCCCGTGCTACAGGAAATCGTGTTATTTGGTGATCTGGACGAATAGCTGGTCTGTTTAATCCCGCTGCTGCTCCAATTTCTCCGTCACTTTCTTTCCAGTGCCCGCCGCTTCATCCCTGACCGCCGCCCGCACAAGGCCGGGGAGGCCGCGCCACCACTCGTGCGAGGCTAGAGAGGGCTGCGCCGCCGTTGACGTGGTTGGTCGGAGAAGGACAGTGACGAATTGGCCACGGCGATGTGCTACGACAAAAATTGATACACAGCCGGAGGTTGAAGACGAGGGTAATTTGGATATTTTCCCTACCTTCTCTCTCCTCTAAATCGAGAAATAAATAAAATAATCGGCGCCGTGTATCTGGGCAAACAACCACGAATTTGTGATGTCTTTAGGCAAATTCTCTGTTTGGCGGTGTGTGCCAGCCAATTACATATTTTTTCAGTGTCCCTCAGCAAAATTTGCCATTTTTTTCCCAACCAAGTGATGGTGGTAATCCTCCGTGTCATTGCCGATTGTTTTGCATCGAACAATCTGCAATGACATAGAGGCAATCGCTACCGATTTGTGTCTCCATTTTAATTTGGCAGTGATGTCATCTCCACCTATTTAAATAGTTTCTTCCAACCTTTTTTAAATTTGAGGCGCCAATAATCACGGGATTTCACCTTCATCATATATAACACCACTCCATCATATAGAGTATGCACGTATTTGAAAATCCAAATTTGTTATCTTTGACCAACCGTTAGCCTGGTTATATGAAAAGTTCATACTATAAAAAATGGCTACATTAGATTAATCTGTACTAACTAGATACACTTTCTACTAATTATCAAACTTTTGTTCCCGTAAATTATATATATATTACAAAGACCGCCCCTTATATTTTGTGACGGATCAGGAGGGTGTCGCTGCTTCTGTGCGGCGCTGCCGGCGCCCGGCGGCGAGGGACACCCCAATGCACATGTCTGACAGGACGCCGTATTCCGCGGCCCGGTCTCTTCGCTCCAGCCAAGCCAAGCCAACGCAAAAGCGTATCCCAGCCCAGGCACAAGCGTCAACGGCCGGGCGCGCAACGCCGCTCCAGTTGCCAGCCACCGGCCACAGCTTCGCGGCCGGTCATGGGCAGCTGCCGAGTGGTGGTTTCAGTCGTACCGACCAAGATAAAAGCCGGCTGGCGAAGCGCGAGCCCGGAATGACCAGTGAATCAGCCATACCGCCGCTACAGGCTACAGCAACAATGCACAACCTGAATATGTTTATGTATATGATTTTGTTTCGCAAGTGTCGTTCCTTCAATTTTACAGGCAACTACCAATCAGGCCATCGCATCTGTTACAGCACAGCACAGTGCAGTGCTAGCAGGTCTTTACAAGTTAGCCGAAGGCGGCGCCATCGGCTGTGGCAGCAGGCCTTCCCTCTTGGCCATTTCGTACAGGGCTATCGCGGAGAGTGCTTTTGCATCGCCGGTCAACCGCCAGAGATGGTTGTACGGAACCACGCGCAGCTTGATCAGCTCGCCATGGTCACGCAGCCCGGTTTCCTTCCCCTGGAGCGATCTTATAGTCTCCTCGTCGACGCAGCCTCTGTACAGGAACAGGCCGATCTCTTCGTCGCAGCCACCCTAGTAACGTACAGAGGCATCAGTCTGAATTAGCAGGAATCAGAATGCAATGTTTGCAACAGCAGAGTTCAGAACACCAGCGTGTCCCAGGTTGTTGCATACTTTATTCTATTTCCCAGCCAGCCCTGCTCTTGATTTGTCAAAAAGATTGCAATCAAGTACTAATAGCTAGCGCTGGTTTAGATCTCTGTGCAGCTTTTATCATCAGTTAAGTTGACTTAGATGCTTTTTATGTGTACAGAAATCTGATTCTTCAGGGGGGAAATAGTGATTAAGTTTAACCGGGTGAACAGAAGTTTTGGCAGACAGTAGCAAACTAAGGGAAATGTTGGCCAGTTACCGGTGATGGCAGCATTCGACCTCCGGTAGCAGGGTCCAGCAGTGCCGTAAGATCAACCATGTCCTCTATATTCAGCTTTATACCAGTCTCTTCTTCCACCTGCCAGCAATTAAGGATCAGTGCCACAAGAATATTGTATACAACAATTGGTACTTAACAGATTCATCTAAAATTCTGACTACAACAGAAATGCATTACGGCTTGTGCAATCTGAAATTCTGAATCAAAACCAGGCAAAAACAGGATCAATGCAAGGCTGTATTCAGAAGCCAAGATACTAACCTCACGGACTGCAGTGCCAACAAAATCACCTTTTTCATCATCTAGCATCCCAGCTGGCAGCTCCAACAGGAATTTTCCAACAGGAACTCTAACCTACAATTTTGATGGCAGTCAATAGGTGAATTTGCTTACTGAATCAAACCATGTGCTCTAAATCATGATAGATACACTATACCTGCTCAGTAAGCACAGCATATGTTTCCCCCTTAGACTCCAAAATAATCAACACAGCAACCGCGGGCCCTCTTGCAAAGACAATTCCTGGAACCTATATATACTGTCAAAAGATGGTATGAACTAAACCATCATCCTGCTAGTGCTAGAGAGTAGAGACCCCGCAAATCGATTTAAAGGCGAAAAATTCATCAGTGGATGCAGGAAAGATATCAGTATATCACACAAAGATTTTAATAAGCACACAATGGAAAACATACTTCAGACTATCATGGTACACGTAACATTCAGTGCCATAGTCAAGGCTGAAAAGCAAAGTCATCACAAAATTGAAAATACACTTCTAAAGTGTGCTTCAGCCTATATATTCAGCATAAGCAAAGGCTGGGCCACATCCACCCTAAGCACCCATCTATTCTACTCATTTGCTGCACCCATCTATCTCTATTCATTAGCTCCTCACCAGTACAGCAATACATTATCAATTGTAAAGGGGAAAAGACAGGAAAAGTACAATCACATATGCATATGTTTACTAGAAGAAACACCTCACATTACTATCAATCAAACTCTGATGAGAAATTTGGACTCCGTAGACCAGTTAGTCCTAAATGACCATTCTAGGATCCAATCAAATGTACAACAATACCGGCAGGAACATTCCAACCAATCACCTTGGTTTTGGTTTCCTCGTCCACGATGTCAGCTTTGAACTTGAGAAAGCCCACCCGTTTCCCGAACATGTCAACCCCCTGCATCGCAAATCCAGACGCAAACGAGAGCAAATTGAGCAATGTCATACAATCAATCAATTCGACCGAGCCAGCTGCACAAATGCACATCACCTGGATGAGGACCCGCGTGAGGTTCAGCCTCCCGTAGGTGAGGACGCCCTTCTCCGACTGCAGGTTCCGCAGCCACTGCTTGAACAGCGACGACTCCACCGCATTCCTGCGCTTATCAGAGCCCGCCGCCAGCATATCGCATGAGCGAGCTTTCCATCAGAGAGAACTGGAGAAGGGGAACTGACCTGAAGTCCGCCTCGGGGAGTCCCGGGGCGCCCACGACGAGGACGGGGGCCGCGGTGCCGGGCACCTCGACGGTAGCGCTGGGCGGTGCCCCGGCAGAGCCGTCCGACGAGGCCATGCGAACGCCGCGGCAGCGGGACGCTGCTCGTGTGGTCGCGGGAGGGGAAGGGAAAGGGAGAGGCGGCAGCGTCGACCGGCGGCGGCAGCGAAGGAGACACTGCGCACGAGCATTCGCGGCCGCCGATGCCAATGGGGGGCCCAGCGAGTTTCCGGAAGCTTCCGCACGTGGAGCAATTGAAAATCTCGATGGGCCGGGCGAAAGAGCATAGAGGCTAAGCCCACAAGGCTTTCTACCCAGGTTCGGTTCCCAGGCGTCGTAGCGACCGACTTCGGCTCAAGGCCTGTTTGCCCGTAATTTTTTACCGTGATATGCTGATTCTGTGGATTAGTTCTATATTAAAATGAATTAGAGAGCTCCGAGCTAGAAAAAAAAAGAAGCTTTTTCTTATCACTATATATATAGAGAGAGTTTATCCTAGAGAAACATTTTCAGTCAGATAATCAGCTTCCACAAAGAATCTGAAGAAAGAAAGCTCTACCAAACCTCAAGTGGTAAATACATACTCCTAACTATAAAAGTATATGTACAACTATGTAGTACTTTTTTTTTAGCCTGGACTCCTAGTGTACAAGTTGTAGTATCTGTACTCCAACTATGTAGTACTAGTCTTCTAGTTTTGATGACAAGTTTAAGAAACACAGTTGAAAATGAAAATGGTCTTTTAGTGATGTTTGGTGGCATCAGCAACGATGAAGCCGATCATTGGCATCCTAGAAGTATGAACACCACAGTACCCCCCCAAGGCAAAAGAAAAACCTATATTGATCTTGGTAACATGGTTGGAGATGGAAATGAGGTCCATGATGCCACCAATGATGAGCCACATTGCACTCATTTGTTAACTATGGGCCTGTTTGCTTGGAGAAATTCTGGAGGAATTTGGATGGTTTGGAGGAATGCTGGAGGAATTTGTGAGAGAGAAACACAGTTCCGGATGAAAAAAGAAGCGGATCAAGCCGGGTTTAAGGGCACGCGAACGGGGCCTATATATATTTGTTAACTATGTGGTACGTTGCACTCATTTGTTGTCCATTATCTATGTAGTTTGTGCAAATGTACGATGAGCCACATGGACATAAACAATTAAAAGAACCACCTACAAACATGTTTTTATCTATTAGGAATCGTTGACAAATGCAAAGTTACAAAACAATATATATACAAGGGATGAAAGAACCATTCCAAACAAAACCTTTCATTCTCGAAGCTGGACCCAAGTTCTAAGCCCAACACCTCTATTTCCTCCTCTAGCTCCATGGATTAAAAACCTTTCCTAGCCACATGGTGAGCATTTTTTTTAGTGGCGCTCTAAAACTTGGAGTAGTCCCAAATAAACAGGATCTTGCTCTTCTGGGCCTTTGTGTCGCCATTTTGATCGTTGTTTTTGAGAACAGAAAACAATTACACTAATTGACCTGCTTTTTTAGAAAACTAATTGCCCTGCTTTTCTTTTCTTTTTTTTAACATGGAAGATGATCTCGGTTACTCAATAGCTGAGGCCAAATCGTTGGTGAGTGGAACTAATTGACCTGTTCAAAATGCATAAGTCAATGCAAAAGGGCTATAGGCCCATCATGTTGGGCTCACTTGAGCACAATGATCAATGGGTCTAAGACCGACGCAGGCCCACCACAGGTCCATGAGTAGGCTACTGCCCTCGTTTCGTCTCGTGCACCGAGCCGCATCACGGCGCAGACGACGGCGGCGGCTGCAACGAACTAACCAGCGAGCGAGAGAGCGAGCGGGCGGCAGCGTCGGAGGAGGAGGAGGAGGAGGAGGAGGAGGAGATGCCGGGAAAGGGTCAGCGGCGGAGGGAGAAGAACTTCCGGGCGGCGCACGGCGGGGACACGCGCCTGCCCCCGCCGCCGAAGCACCGGGAGCTCGAGGCCATCCCGTCCAAACTTCGCCGCCTCATCGCCTTCCAGAACAAGCACAACGCCAACGCCAACGCCAACGGTAACGCGTCCTCAGGTGCCTATTCTGCTAGCCTCTACACGGCGGCGCAATTAAAACATAAATGGTCTGCCGAATCTCCTGTTCTACCTCCTGACTGCGCGTGCTGGTGATGTGGTGGCTGCAAAGGAGGTGCTCCTGGGAAGCAAGACGATGGGTTAAGGAAGAACAAGCCGGCAACAGACAAGGTAATTTCGGGGTATAGTAGAGTAAAATTCGGCCCTCCTTGTCCTCAGTCCCGCACTTCACTCCAGTTCAGCTGATTCACACCGTGTGTTGTTTCGGTTCGTGGTTGCCTGCCAGTTGCGTATGCAATATGATGCTGTTAAGAATGTGATGTGTTAACTTCTTCGCATTTTCGCTCTTCAGTTTTTATTATATGGTGTTCATGTAGAAAACTAAGAAGCGGACATTGGTGGTTCCTGCTGATAGCAAAGCATCAGAGATTAAAGGCAATGAAGATGGTTCAGCTGCCCATGAGAATGAGAATGTGAATGCAGAGGGTAGTAAGAGGAAGCGAAAGAGGGGAAAGGCCAAGGACCTTCGTTTCGAGGAACTGGACAAGAACATCTCAGTTTCGAAGAAGCAAAGAAGGAAGAAGTGAGTTCTCTAGTTGCCCTATGCATCTGATCTAAACTCTGCTGTTATGTTATTATCAGAAGGTTTAAACAACAGTGACATGCCCTTCCATGAATTTCAGACATCTAGATGAGAAGAAAAAGAAGCGCAAGGGCAATAAGACAGAAACTGTTCCAGACTTCCCTGGGCGTGAGAAAGTCAAATTTGGTGAAGTTGTTGAGGCTCCACCAAAGTTGTCATTCCCGAAGGTACTTACTTCTCCACGTCGCGCTATATGAACTCCTTTTGTGTGATCTATATTCTGGATTACACATCGATGGTTCTATACTTTTCTAGGTGAAGAGCGCTTTAGATGCTTCTCGTGAGATGCTAAGGAAAGAAGCGATTGAGAATTACAGAAATATCAAAGGATGGACATCAAGGCCTGGACTCCAGCTTCCAACACTAGCAGAGAACACATTCCTATCACAATAGATATTTTGTCTGTTTATTATATCATCATTTAACAAGTTTACTCTGTTTATACAGAGAAGTTTAGAGTATCAATTTTGTAATCTGTACCCTCATGTAGGCAAATTCTGAAACAAATATTCCTGTCTGGATACCTCTCTTCTTTTGTGTGTTTGTTTTTCCAATTGGATCAATGTTGTGTTCTTGCCAACAGAGTATTATGTGATTAAGAAAGCAGATACTGACTGTTTGATCAGTGGCTTGGATTTTGGAAAATTGTCCATATTTGGTTCTAGTCCATTCTTTGAGATGGCAATTGGAGCATAATAAACTCATTATTCCGCATCACAGTGAGTTTTTTTTTCCAACCTCCCCAAATTACAGTTGTGGAATATGTACATGTCTCCAACAGTGACAAAGGATTAAAAATACTTGTTTTGCCATTTCAAGTTGAACGTGGGTATGCATACAACTGGAGCCCTTTATCCATGTGTAGGGTAAACATTGTTTTGTATGTAGCATCCTTGGATTCATCTGCCAGTTTGAACCTGAAGAAGTGTATCAGGGTGGCTGCCATGATCTTCATCTGCCTATATGCAAACTCTTTCCCCAAGCAGATGCGGGGCCCCGCCTGATCATTGAAGAAAGCTTTGTTAAATGCAAATGGTTGCCTTAAAAAATTTTGAACAAGGGGAAATGACAGACACCCCCCCTGGGTGAAGGCTAATGAGATTAGCTTAGGTTGTTTAGGTAGCTTGAGAGCTGATAGTAGCTTCTAGCTTGGCCTTAGCATTGACTTACAGCAATAGAACACAATTTGAATGCCACTATCTGCTAATATTCTAAACTTTATCTGTTCCTTTCTAATTCTCTATGAGAATCTAGGTAGTACCTAGTATGGACATGTGATTATAGTTGGACTATGTTCTCTTTGAACATGTGAGAGATGACTAGTGCATTATACTTACATTGAAGGACACAAATTTGTAAGGACTCTCTTGCTGGAAGACTCCATTCGCAATCCATCTTTCTGGCTTGAAATCTTCAGCATCTTCACCCCAGAGGTATGTCATCCTCCCCATTGCATATATCATGTAGTTCATGCCATCTCCTTTTATCGCTTTATAGCCATTAGGTAGTACATCATCTTCTTCCACCATCTTACCATCCTGTAAGAGTGCCACAGAAAATTTCACGAACGAAATTTGGAAAACGCAAGTCTATGTAAATAACAGAAACATGGTGTTGCGTAGAGCTTTATTATTATTATTTCCTGCATAGTGACATACTTATAATTGACTGATTGATTTTCTGCTTCCATATATTCTTGAGTACAAATTTCCTTAAACTTTTTGAAAGCATATTCCTGTAATTGTCCTTTGATACCGTTTTGTCCTTTTTATGGATAAAATCATTCCACATGCAAATTCAACTTGATGACAGCTAGTAGCAACTTAAAGGTGGTTTACAATATCTAATTTCTAGTAATTTTACATGGAAATAGACCATGCCATTTCCTATCTCTAGTAGTCTTTTTAAAAATTCATGCAGATTTCTGAAGATTACTTTCATGTATTTGTAATAGTTATAGTATTTTCACCCCAAACCATCTAACTAAGATCATTTGCAGTTAGCTAGTTAAGTTCATACTGGTAACAAAGGACTTTCATATTTCATTATGATCGATATGTTAATAACACATTGTAATTAAGCTAAATCATGATCAAATTTGTTTGCATGGACCTAGTCAAGGAATAGCCTACAGAGGATTTATTTGTACCATTGGAACAGCTGGATACAGCCGTAGTGTCTCAGAGATTGCAGCGTGGAGGTAGTGCATTTTGTCAATTGCTCCGTCATTCAATCTTGCAGTGAAGTCTTCTGTGTTGTTATCTTCCTCAGCCCACTTAACGGTCTCCTTGATTTCGAGGGCAACTTTATCCTGCACTATAGGATTCTTGCAAAGCATGTAGAAGAACCAGGAGAGTGTGTTCCCAGTTGTGTCTTTCCCAGCAATCAGAAAATTGAGGACTATGTCACGCAGGTAACGATCATTGATCGTTTCAGGGTCCTCCTTGCTTGCTATTATGAATCTTGATAGTATGTCCTCTCTGGTTTTCTACATGCATCATAAAGGTGAAGATAGAGTTCAATTAAGAGAAGATGTTGCAGAAGTAAAACGTTGCAGTATATCTATTCTGGATACTAACACTAGATTCAAAAGCTGCTCAGACTTTCTGGAGAGTACATGCTCCACAAGACATAAGAGCTGATAAACAGAATCACACCGCCCTTCAGATATGATTTACATGTAAATTTAGGTGGTTTGCACATGATGCATGACATATTGATCCTTTAACAGATCGAAAATTGTCCATCTTGTTAGGATGCAAATATCTCATGGCTAGACACAAAGATCTCTTATTTTAGTGCCAGATTGAATTTTTTTCATCAGGTTGTTACTAAAAAGCATATACCAACACAGAAGGCAGTATATACACTTTGGCAAGTTTATATTCAGGTTAGAGTTTTGCAGCCCTTACATTATCTTGCCCATTCATTTGCTCCCTCTTTTGGTGGATCAACTTCATCACGAAGTCATCAAGGATCTGAATGTTCCTTTTAAGCTTCGCTTCTGATCCGATATTGAAATACCGTTTCAGTTGCCAGAACAGATCGACATATCGGTGGTAGACAATAGAGTTTGCCTCATCAAAGGCATTGCTGAACTGAACACTAGATTCATCTGATCCAGATAGCGTGTTCAGCTCGAAACCAAATCCCACTTTGAAGATCGAATCCATAGTTGTTTTCATCAAAAGATCCTGAAAATGAGTGCATTAATGTGATCCAATTGTTCTATCAAATACAAATATTATGTATCACTTAACTAACATCTACTGATATGTATTCACCAATTAATAATATATATGCACTTTTATGTTAGTCATGTGTAGGTACCTGCATGTTTAGAATAGTTCTGTTAACTGATGATATCTTATCTACCAGTCTTGTAGCATTCGCTCTGAAGACAACGCTGCTGAATTCACGTAGCACTTTGGTTGAGAATTCATGACTTGCCAGCTTCCTCTGGTGCCTCCACTTATCCCCGTCTATTGCAAAAATTCCATCCCCGAACAGATCCTTCATAATTCCAATATTGTAGGCTCCCTGTGTTTCAGCCTCAAATGAGTTAAAATCATGTTCAGAAGGCCATATTGTGGTAGTCTGTCATATCTGTCTAAGTAAATCAATTGTTTGTATGGATAAGTAGCTAAATGATCCGACAGATAAGAATGAAGATGCCCTTTAAAATAAGTTTAAGGCTGATGATGATCTACTTTAAAATAAGTTTAAGTCTGATGATGATCTACATTTCTTATGCATGACGATGTGTTGAGCATTAACCATTTTTGCTTTCAGTTTACTGTAAGTTTAAAGTAAGTGTTATTTGAAGATAACTGCAGATTACTCAAGTTCTGACACTATTTATTGCAGGATTGTGGCACCCCGCACCTGGCACATAAATTGAACTATGCCCTCCATTATTCTCCATCTCTCTCGGCCAACAAAGTCCATAGCACGGGGCTCACAGCCACTGAAAAATCAAGAATCAGACAGAGATCGAGACTCACATACATTCGTTGTGGAGATGCTAACACCAAATTTTTCCACATTAGAGCCAGTGCACGTCGGAGAAAGAATTACATACATTGTCTGCATACGAATGGGGGGATTGCGATTGCTCATGAAGAAAAAGAAAAAGTGATAGGGGATTATTTTAAAAATCACATTGCCTCTGCAGTTCTGAGAACCACAACAATCAATTGGCATTCTCTTGGCTACACTCAACATGATCTCTCGGACATGGAAGTGCCTTTCTCCTATGATGAGGTAAAAAATACTATAAATTCCATGTCTTCTGACAAAGCGCCAGGTCCGGATGGTTTCACTGGTGCCTTCTTCAAACCTTATTGGGAAATCATTAAAGAGGATGTTATGGTAGCCATAAACAGCCTATTCACATTGAACGTCCAGGGTTTTGAATGGCTAAACTCGGCATGCATCATCCTTCTAAAAAAACGGATGCAACGAGAGTCACTGATTTTAGACCCATCAGCTCCATCCATAGCATTGCAAAGATCTCCAAATTGTTAGCTAAGACTTACTCCTCGACTGAACTCCCTCGTCTCCAATTGTCAGAGCGCATTTATAAAAAAAAGAAGCATCCATGATAATTTTCTTTACGTTCAAGGAGCAGTACGAAAGCTACACAGGCTAAAGATACCGGCTTTGTTCATGAAATTGGACATCCACAAAGCTTTTGACATGGTAAATTGGGGGTACTTGCTAGAGATTCTACAAGCCCTGGGCTTCGGACCACGCTGGCGTGAATGGATCTCTATTCTATTCCGTACATCCACCTCGACAGCCTTGCTTAATAGACGGCAAGGACTCACTTTTAGCCATGCCAGAGGCGTCCGGCCGGGAGATCCGCTTTCACCCATGCTCTTCATTCTGGCTATAGACCCGCTTCAACGCTTGCTTGACCAAGCAACCCAACATGGGATACTCACCCCCTTACCCATCATGGCGGAAAAATGGAGAATCTCTATGTATGCAGACGATGCGGCTATTTTCATCAACCCAATAAAAGAGAATGTAGAAGCTGTTAAAATTATTCTCCAAGCATTCGTCACCTTCCTCAGGACTCCATATTAATCTAGAAAAAGCTCTGTGCATCCAATCAGATGTAAAAATGTCGATCTAGATCAAGTCCTATCACCCTTCACCGGTAGTAGAGGTGACTTCCCATGCAAATATTTGGGGCTGCAACTCCACACTAGATCACTACAAAAGGTCTATGTCCAACCTTTCATTGAGCGTATTGGACAAAGGTTACCCAAATAAAAAGGAAGATAGCTAAATAAAGCGGGACGCCTCACTCTAGTAACTTCAGTCCTCTCCTCAATGCTAACCTACCACCTCACAGTGTTTTCCTTGGCGGCATGGGCTAAGAGGAAGATCGACAAAATCAGGAGATCTTTCTTGTGGAAGGGGGAGGAGAATGCCAATGGTGGGCACTGCATGGTTAACTGGCCAACAGTTACCAGACCAAAAGACCTTGGTGGCTTAGGCGTGCCTGACCTTGATAGATTTGGGAGAGCCCTCCGGTTGCGCTGGCTTTGGCAAGAATGGGTGGAGGACTCCAAGCCTTGGATCGGCTCAGAGCTTCCATGTACTGATGTTGATCGTCTCCTCTTCAACTCCTCAATCAACATAACTTTGGGTGATGGTGTAAAGACTCGGTTTTGGCACCATAATTGGCTTGAAGGAGAAGCTCCAAGGTACCTAGCCCCGAATTTGTTTCATCTTGTTTGAAGGAAAAACCGAACAATGCAACAAGAACTCCGGAACAACAATCGGATGCGCTCGCTAAGAAGAAAAATCACTTCGGCTATCCACATAGAGGAATTTGTGTCCCTTTGGATACGAATTCAAGACGTGCACCTGCAGCAGAGCGTTCAGGACTCCATCACCTTGCAATGGCACCAGGATGGGACTTACTCCATCCGCTCAGCTTACAAAATTCAATTCAAAGGCTCGCTCGTTCTGTTCCGTACTGAACTCATTTGGAAAGCACAAGTGGAGAACAGATGCAAGATCTTGCTTGGATTTTGGTGCAAGATAAAATTCTTACGGCGCACAACCTACAAAAAGATAGGGTGGCCACACCAAGAACACTACGTGCTGTGCAACGGTCCCTTGGAAACCAGCCTCCACCTATGTCTATGTTGCCCTTTTACTAAAGCGGTTTGGGATCAAATCCTCTCTTGAGAAAACTTCACTCAGTTGCAACAACAACCCCAGGAAGACCCCATCCATATCATAGCATGGTGGGAAGAGGCGGCAAGGAAAATGCCGAAATCTGTATGTAGACGACTAAACGGGAAGTAATCTACACCTTTTGGAATATTTGGAAAGAGAGAAATAGGAGAATTTTCAATAACGAGATAGAAATGCCGCAAGTAGCCGTAAGGATAAAGGAAGACATAGAGCAAAGAAAGAGAGCACTCGCTTATATTTAGCTGCTGTTTTCCCTTGGGGTGTGTGTTTCCCTCTTATCCCTGCTTCGGGGGGCTTTAAACCCTCATCTAGAGTGTCTTTGTTTGTACATAAACTCTCTTTTTCTATCTTAATTGAAAGACAGAGCTCCTGTCACTGCGTTAAAAAAAAACGAATGTGCTTGGGAAACCACCTTGCTGTATTTGCTGAAACTGGTCTTGAGGACATGCTCAACGACGGCCGGGTCGGCCGTGAAGAGCTCGTTGTGTCCAGGGTAGACCAGCCTGCAGGTGCGATGCGCCAGCGCGTACACGACGTGCTCGTCGAATAGCCTGTCGAAGTTCTTGAGCTGCCGGAACACCGTCCCCATGAGCGGCGGACGGTCTGGGTCTCTCCGGGCGAACTCTCTGGCGCAGAAGACGGCGAAGGACGCGAGGACGCCCAGGACGTAGAGGGTGAGCACCACCAAGGCTGTGGCAAGAGCTGACAGCAGGCACAGGCCCGCCGATGCGGCGAGGGAGGATAGCTGGAAAGCCATTGGAGCTGGAGCTGGAGCTGGAGCTGCTGTGGTGCAGGAGGTGCTTGATCACTCAGAGTCAGAGCAAGATGACCCAGCCCGTGTTGCTCTATTGATGGTACCGTGCCGTACCAAATGGATGGACTATACTATGCCGTGTTCAAACCTGAAACTCTGCAATGGCTCAAGCAATTTCCAGTCTGCAGTGCGGTGATCTCAAAACAACTACAAAATGATATCTGGAACGAGGTTTGTTGAGACTGAAGAATGAGGTGAATCTGTTTGAGTTGGAGATTTATAAAGAACTAGATTTGGAAGACCATTGCGAATTTGTGATGGGAAGAGGTATGCTCTTTCTTGTATGCATATATGATAATAAGCATGCTACTCCTTTTGCAAGAAGGAGATGGATAATAAATATTAGAATTAAATTATTGCTGCCTTGTGTACAAGATAAAGACCAGGACAGCGAAATGGATAGTATAACATTGAGTCAAGGATCAGTCGGCTTGGAAAATCGTCAGCATGGCCGTGGCAGCAGTTGGGTTTGTCTGTGCAGGGGCGGCACGTTTCCTTTGGGTCCAAAGAAGATGCCGTCATGCAGTGCGTGCTCTTATGACTTTAGCTATGAGCGCGTGTTTAGTTCGCACCCAAATTCCCAAAAAGTGCTACAGTAGCTATTATATCGAATTTTGCGATACATGCATGGAGTATTAAATGTAGATGAAAAAAAAAACTAATTGCACAGTTTGGTTGGAAATTACGAGACGAACGTTTTGAGCCTAATTAGTCCATAATTGAACACTAATTACTAAATAAAAACGAAAGTGCTACAGTAGTCCAAATTTCAAACTTCCCCAAACTAAACATGGCGTGAACCTTTTTGCACAATTGTTTCTTGGCATTATCGGACTCATCGCCAAAAGTACTTATATATCGCACAAAATACACACCAACAGTTTGGGCCTCTCCATACCGCCAAGAGGCAGCGGCCGTGGCCCATCTGGGTTAACTACGGCAAAGCCCAAGTGTTGGCCCGGGGAAACCTAATCACTTTCAGCCCAACGAATATCAGTGTCGGCCCATGCACACAGCAGCCCAATGACGGACGCAAACCCGATCCGCCCACGAAAGCCTCCCCAAACTCGATCAAACCGCGCACGAAAAAACCATCAAAATCGCTGCAAAATAGCTCCCTCCTCGAATCGGGGCGGCGTATAAGCGTACAATTGCATCTTGCGTTTTGCAATTTGAGACTGTTTAGTTCACATTTAAAATTTATCATGCCAAATATGATTTTAGCTAGTATTTGGTTGGTTACCAAAATTTGTCAACTTCTCATATTTGGTTTGCCATATCTTTGACAACTTTTTTTTTATCTAGCTTTTGCCTGTCAAATCTTTGGCATGGTAAAATTTTGATCGCGAACCGAGCAGACCCTTTGTTTCCTTTATTATACTGTGATGTTCATCTGTAGAGGCCGTTTGGATCGATCATTCAATGGGTAACTTCATTTATAATAAAATGTGTCCACCTGAATTCCTTACATTTATAATAAAATGTGTCCACCCAAACAAGATGTCCGTTTGGTTCTATGCTTTCATGGGATAGTAATTAGAGTACAACAATTCGCTAAATTCCTTACATTTACATAAAAATGTGCCATGCTGACGCGGCTTCATTGTCATTGACTCATTGCTCTCCTATGTACTAACCATGACTTGCCAAAACACTATTGGTCCTGAAGTATGTACGTATGTACATCAACAAAGGACATCTTGTTTGGGTGTTCATGCTGAACGTGGGTGTGCGTACAGGTGAAGACCTTTGTCGATGTGGAGGGTAAACATGACTTTGTATTAAAGTTTTCCAAACGGGCCGCCCGGGCACGGTACGGCACTAGCACGGCGCGGCACGGCACTATCAGGCACGGCATCCTGACCGTGCCGTGCCGTGTAGTGCCGCCGTGCCACCACTCCGGCCCAGGCACGGCACTAAGGAGTCCAGGCGATCTTGCTTGCGTACCACAAGGCACGGTAGCCCAAATGGATTAGTGCCGCACTGGACACTAAAACCTCAATAACACTTAAAATGTTCACAAACAAAGCAGCACAATTCAATGATCAAATTCAAATTTGAAGAAAGCAAAAGAAAAAGAGAACACAAGAAGAATGAATATGAAATAAAAGGAGTCATGCAATGGTCATCTCATTAAAAAACATTAGTTCGTAAAACTCACCCTTGTGAGAAACCACAGACAGGGAAAAAGAGTGCAACCAACCCCTTAGTTTAATCCAATTGTTCATTAAATCCAATCCACAGGTCCAAAGCATCCAAGTCCAAGTCTTTAAGATTACTGAGACCATTACATAAATGAATGACTAATCAAGATAAAGGTTTTCAAAGGCCTCCTCGAGCTCCTTATCCTCCACCATATGTTGTAGCCTTGACTCAGCAGCTTCCCAGTCCTTGATGCATGTGAGTGCCTCCACAGTCTCAGGGTTTAGCCTCCGCCGCCTTTCTTCAATGATCCCGCCAGGTGATCTGAAAGTAGCTTCGAGGAAATGGTAGAAACAGAGTACTGCTGAAAAACATCTTTTGCAAGGGTAGAAAGAATCGGATATGTTAGCTTATGACGATGCCACCAGTTCGGGGATGTTGAAGTCATCATCCCACTGCTCACTTTGTCACAGTCCGATATAAGCGAGCGATTCGAGAACTCATCGCTAGAAGAACTTGCTTTGCATGTAACAAAACGATGAAAGGCATACTCCTAGACATATCAAGATTAGGAGGAAGAGAAGAACAGCACTCAACTGCACCATCATCATCATCATCATCATATATTTCAGCCCAAGTCGTTCTTTTTCTTACCGAGATAGGCTTGGAGGATCAGCCTTTTTAGCCCTTACAGAGCCATACAAATCATCATACTTATGATACAGCTTGAAAAGTAGAGTTCTAGTTTGCATCAGCTTATTAGAATAATCAGCATCAGTAAGCACATTTAACTTCTTAAGCACTTTGTTAAAACCTTTAATTTTAGCTCTTGGATCCAAGATAAATGCAATGCAATAAAAGATCGGTATGGTTCTCCAATACTTATTGTACTTATCAATCATAGGTTGAACAATAGTTCTAATATGTTCATCATTTTGATACTTATGCAGGTGTATAGCAATCTTAACAATATGATGAACCATAAGTGGGGCAGTAGGATAGTACACACCAGACAAAGCAACTGTTGAGTCATAAAACAGTTCAAGGAATTCCAGTATTTTAGTTGCTATAGCCCAATGATCATGAGTCAAAAGAAATGGGCCACCTTTAGGTCTAGGATAATTAGACTCAATGAAAGTATGAAAAAAAATTTCCTTGTGTGGTAGCAAATGCCTAAGCATCGGTATGTAGAGTTCCACCTAACATCCATGTCCAAAGCAAACTTCCTAGGTCTAGTACCGATGCCATGCAAGAACTCTTATATGCAAAGAACTTTCGAATGTTAGAAGAGTTAATCCATGATATTGCAGTTAAAGAAAGCATCAATCAAAGCACTAACAGCAACCAAAGCCTCTTTAACAATCAGGTTTATGATATGACAAGCACAGCGTTGATGCAAAAACAGATCAGAACCTAAATACTCCTTAAGTATAGGTTTCAGTTTATCCATAGCTTTATTATTAGCAGAGGCATTATCCAATGTAACAGAAAAGACCTTGTTCAATATACCATAATCATTAAGCACAATCTTAACACGTTCAGCAATGTTATCAGCATTATGTGATGCATCTATAAGCCTTAAGCCAAGCACCCTTTTTTCAAGTTGCCAATCAAATTAATGTAATGACCAACAACACTCAAATAATCCTCTTTAGCATTTCCGGACCAAATATCGTAAGTAATAGCAATGATGAAATGGCATTATTCTTCAAATCTTCAATCAAACTATCACGCTTAGAATTGAAATACTTAAAAGATCTCTAGTCAGTAGTTTGCTTAGACACGATGAGAGTACCTAGGGTTATGAGCGGTTTTATGTAATCTTCCCAGCCTCGGTTTCACCAAGACGCAGGGGAAAGGTCTAGCCTAGCAAGCAAACGAACAAGCTCCTTACGAGCAACCTCGTGAGAATACTCCCAATTACGCACACTACCATCCTTATTGAAAGTAATGTGGGGTGAGCCATCACGACATTTCTCACGCTTCTTAGGGCAAGAGTCTTGATGACGGAGAAGATGGCCATCCCAAATTTAGAATTAGCAGTACTCCTTACGGCGGTGAAGACACCGAAGCGCCATACACGACATCCTTACCATTTACCTTCTTGATGAGCTTCTCGAAATCTTCCCAGCAGAATCCGAGGTAGAAGGGCGATTAGGCTTCTGCTTGAGTCGTCATCACCAGCGGCTTGAGCTTGAGCGTCGCCCTGGACGGCATTGGGGCCATCACCATCGTCGACGGGAAGTGGGTTACCAGCAGTGCCGCCGTTGAGCTCCTCGGCGAAGACGACGGAAGAAGAGCTCCTCGGCATCCCCAACGACATCGTCCTCGTCGTCTCCGGTCATCCCGCATAGGCGGAGCTCGTCGTTGATGGTCATGGAGAGACCGATGTCCTCCTCCTCGTCCGACATCTCGTCGTCGCCGGCCTCCGGTCCCTCAACGTCAGCGGCTTCAAAAAAAAAGAAACAGATCTAGGGTTAAATCAAGAAGAAGAAGAAGAAGAAGAGATGAAGAACAAACAATCAAGAACAAGAAGTGAAGAACACCGAATCAAGAACAAGAAAAGAAATGAAGTGAAGAAGAAGAAGCGGATCTGAGCTCACCTCGCTTGAGCGGAGACACCGAGAGGCAACGACGACGCCGACAAGTCGCTTCGAGATCCGGCGTCCTGGTACCTCAACGCCTCCTTGCGGAGCCCCAATGACACCGGAGTCCGGCGAGGTCGACGAGACCGACGAGAGAGAGACGAGGAGGAGATGGAGACGACTAAGCTACATCGCCGGTCAGGGAGAAGAGGGGGG